GTGTACTTGCTTAATGTGCCAACCTTGGAAGGTTCAATCTGTGGCATTTCCATGTTGGTAGTGGTGGTGATGGGGAATGATCAAATAGTAGGGGATGGGAAAGACCTCTGTCAGAGGACCACTAGCAGACAAAGCTGAGGAAGATGGCCTAGGTTAACAAAATGTTTCTAGCTCTAGACTTAATAAAAGGCAGGGCGAGGTGGTTGCCTGAGACAGTGAATACTTCACACTTATAATTTGTATTTTATGTGTCGTAGTGGCTTGAGTGTTGGGCTACAACTCTGGAGACCAGCGTTCGATTCGCAGCTCAGCCATGAAACTCACTGGGTGATCTTGGGCAAGTCACACACTCTCAGTCTCCTCAAGGGAAGGCAGTGGCAAACCGCCTCTGAACAAATCTTGCCAAGAAAACCCCAGCACAGGTTCACCTTAGGGCTGCCATAAGTTGGAAATGACCTGAAGGCATGCAACAACAAACTTTAAACAGTGTGTTGAGGAAGGGCAGTGCATAAACTGAGTGAAAAAACAACAGCCAATTCAGACAGCTTCTGTATGTGGCATATAAAGCAGGAGTGCCATCTTTGTCTTCCAGAAGACAAAAAGTATTGGGCCAGACCTGGGAATTGTCAGATGGAGTCTTCCATCATGTGAGCTCCCATTTGTGGTTTCGTGACCTCATCTCCAATAAACTGGACTCAATTGAACAGTTCACTTTTACTTGAGTCAACTATCACTTTTAGATAGACAACAAACTGGCACAGCAAACAATTACAGCTCACTTATTCAGAAGAGCAAAATCTGCCCCATTAAAAGGAGGCAAATAATACAAAAATGAAAAATAGGCAAAAATTTTTTTTGCAAATCATCATTTGAATCAAGGTTGTTGGGCATCCAGAAGAGCTATTATATACTTACTGTCCCAAATACTACACTTGGAACTTCACCTTATTGATTTAGAGGAAGTAGAAAAGCTTCCAGAAACATGTTTTGGGATGAGAGTTCTGTCTTTTGCCCAGCCAACAATTCTCCTGATGCTAATAAGAAAGCAAAGGTTTCTCTCCTTTTTTGAAATTTCCATAACCAGAGTTTTCCAAGAACAGTTTGTCAGATCTTTAATGTTAAATGATATAGACAACTTCATAACAATTCAGTCTTTATTAAAGACAACAGGCCTTGCTGGCAGCCAACTCCCAAACATGAGCCTTATATCAATGATCCGATAAAAGAGCAGCTGAACTTCAAACTATCCTTGGCAAGCTGAAGTCATCTCTATTAGCACTGAAAAGCTCTCTTCTTTAAAACTGTCTTTTTCAAAAAAACAGGAGACTATTTCACCGACACTGAAGGATCCTAAGAACTCAGAGACTCAACCTCTTAACCTTTTTGCTCTTTCAGAAAATTGCCAAATGCTTCGCCTCTGAAAGAACACAACTGAAATGCTCCCTGAACCAACACCAATCATGCATCTGAACCTGCTCCAAGACACCTGAATGAGCTGGCAATGAAATCAGCCTGTCTGAAATCCTCAACTCCAGATCAAACCTCAACCCTTTTTGATAAAACTGCTGTCTCCAAGAATCCTGTTTAATTTTGAGGATACAGAGGAAAGCGATAAGATAAATGATGCTGCCATTGTAAATGACTGTATAGATCAGTTACAGCCAGCTGTGACAATAGTGGAAGTTAACTGACTCTGTATTGTGTGAGAACACTGAGCGTGACCCCATCATGACAGGTGCCCTTCTTGGAGAAAGAAATTGGTGGTTGATTCTAGTAATTGTAATGTAACCTAAGACAACCTGTGCTATTCTTCCACCCAGACTAGTAACATCCTTCCAGCCCTTGAGACAACTATGGTACTCTGCCAAGATCATACAATCATAGACCACAAGAGCCATCCAGTCCAACCCTCTGTCATGCAGGAATATACCATCAAAGCATCCCTGATAGATGGCCATCCAACCTCTGTTTAAAAACTTCCAAAGAAGGAGACTCCACCACATTCTGAGGCAGCATATTCCAGTCAAACAGCTCTTACCCTCAGGAAGTTCTTCATAATCTTTAAATTGAATCTCTTTTCTTGTAGTTTGAAGCACAACAGCTTCTCTTGGATGTCCCCCCGCCCCTCAACAATTGGCCAATTCACGTCTTTGGATGATAAATCCAAGCCCAATCTATCAGAGAAGCTTCTCAAGGTGCTCCAATTGTGAGGGAACACCCACGGATCCTAGAGTGACGTTCAGTGCTTAAGAGCACTATCAGACTCCTTTCTTGGAACATTGCTGGTTGGGCATCTAAGAGATTTGATACCAATCTCATGAATTATTTAGGCCTGTTTGACGATGTTCTGCTCCAACAGACTCAGTCTTGTGTCACACTTCTCACTGACTAATCACAAGTGATATTTTGAGCCTTATTGGGGAGAAGAGGTAAAAGAGGACTAATTCTTCCCATTTCCATGAGCCTTCAGGCAACAGTGGTTAAATTAGACCCATCAATGCACACTGGTTTGTATTGTTAACTTCAATCACTTCAGTCTTCTAATCATTCATGATTATCGTCCCTCATAAGGTTTCCAATCTAGAGTTTGTAAAATCTGATCTAATCTTTAAAAGTTAATTTTCTCAGAATCTCAGGGCATCAGTCCCTGCCAGTCAGGCATGGCTGAAACAATCAATCACATCCTGTTTAAGAATATTTGTTCTCATTTTATAGATCCGATCTTGGAAAAGTTCCCAGGAAGATCTGATAGCTTTTATACCTCCCTTCTTCTTTCAGATTCCTCTCAGGAATCTGTGCTGAAGGGTGCAAAGTTCTGTATGCTAGCATTTTCCATTGGATAAGTTCATCAAATCTTACCACGACTCCTCAAACAGCAATTAATGCCACTATGAAGCTGGTTTTTGAACTGCTACCTATGTACGGTATATATATTGAAACCTCTGTACCTTGGAGCTGCTTTTTACCTTCATTATGTTCTGTGTTTGCCCTTTTATGACTGAGAATATGATCATAGTAAAATGATTGATTGATTGATTGATTGACTGATATACATTTATTGCCTCAGCAATAATTAGATCCTCAACTCATGACAGTAGGAAGGAGAGGCTATAACAGCTTATGTAACCCACCCACATGATCCCTAGTGCCTTCCCATCGCTATTGTGCTGAAGAAGTTATGCAAAATAACCCATTTATGAGCACTTAGCTCATGTTAAGAGATGGCATGATAGTCATGTTTAAAGATTTGAAGGAATGTCATACTGAGGATGGAGCGAGCTTGTTTTCTGCTGCTTCAGAGAATAGGACACAGAGCAGTGGATTCAAATTACAGTTGCCCCTCCATTTTCGTGGACTTGGTGTCCGTGTCTCTTGCCTGTTTGCAGGTGGCAAACAGAAGGGGACAAAATGGGATGTGCACCCGTGGTGGTGCGCCACCATTCAAGCCAAAGGGGCTTGAATATTTGCGATTTCCCATTTTTGCGGGGTGGGTGGGTCTGGAACGGATCCCCCATGAAAATGGAGAGGCAACTGTACAGGAAAAGTGATTCCACCTAAAACATGCATCTGAGGAAGTCAACTCAAGTCTATGAAAGCTCATACTACCAAATTCTTTCTTTCAGTTAGTCCCAAAGGTGCTACAGGAACCCTTTGCATACTGATTTTCCAGACTAACACAGCTATGTTTTTGAATTCTATCACCTAAATATTAGGAAAAACTTCCTGGAGGCAAGAGTTGTTCAACAGTTGAACACACTCCTTCTTTTTTGATTTTCAAACAGAGGCTGGATGGCAATCTTTTGGGGGTGCTTTGATTCTGTGTTCCTGCATGGCAGGGGGGTTGGACTAGATGGCCCTTGGGGTCTCTTCCAACTCTACGATTCTATGGTTCTATTTAAAAAGGGGCCTTCTCAGTAGCTACACCAAAATTCTGCAATTCCTTACCCTAAATGGCTAGTCCAGCACTCTCTTTGATTGTGTTTTATCGTTTGATGAAGACACACTTCTCAAGCAGATGTTTGCATCTTCATTTTTATGAAATGTGTTTTTTATTTATTATTTTTAGTATATTTTGAATTTATTGCATTTAGTTGCTGTTAACCAGCCTGACTGGTATGTAAGCACTAGACATATGGGACAGAATCTTTAGTACAAATAAAATACATTTCCACAGGCCATAAAACCAGCTTCTTTTAGAGGGAAGGGCACAATTAATTTTTCTTTCAAGTGTGTAGTCCTAAATAGATGTGAACACACACATAATTAAAATAGTCCCTTTTGTAGCCACCCACTCCCAAACTTAGCATACCTCAAAGGCATCCCAGGTCTGCTTGCCTTGTAAATTTCCAGCTGGCGAACAAAGGTGAGCTCTGCATCATACAGCACAACATATCTTGGTTCCACTTCATATAAGATGCGAGTAAGGGCATAAGGGTCTCCACCCCCATTCAATGGATGAATAACAGTTAGTGGTTCCTTTAAGATCCCATAAAAGTCATCTGAGGAAGACAAAGTCAGATGGAGGTCATCAGGTTTGGCTTCATCACTGCTGCTTAATTCCTTAGGATCTTCTTGCTCCTCCATGATGTTTGCCTCCTCTTCTTTGCTCAACATTTGTGTGAGGGTGAGTGCTGGCTTCATTTTCCTCTTCCTTGACTTAGAAGACTCTGTTTTGGCTTCCTTGGAGCGAGGTGCCTTGGGATTGGCTCCCTGGCACTTGGCTCCTTCTCTGCTCTTCAGGCAATCATCAGGTCCATCTTTGCGCTTTCCAAATGTTTTGCTGTAAAGCCTCATTAAAAAAGCTTCAGCTCCAGTTGTGATATACTCTTTAAGTTGAGCACAAGTGCGGTCGTCACTGGCACAGATGAGCACTCGCCCTGGAAAACAAGAACCAGTGCTTATGATTATAGCATGGTACAAAGAGCTGATCCTCCAGTCTCATCGCTAGACTCAAGCTAGCTGTGTTGAGAGGTCTTGCCACCTGAAGATATAATACTACTTGGTAGCAGTGAGATTTGCACCCAGGCCATCAACATGTCTGATACCTAAATCCAACACCTTAAACCACTGAGCCACGCTACCTCCAAGCCAGTGTGGCATAATGATTTGAACACTGGACTAGGACTCTAAGAGACCAGGATTCAAATCCCTACTCAGCCATGGAAACCCACTAGATGACCTTGAGCAAGTCACGCTCTCTCAGCCTCAGAGGAAATCAAAGGTAAACCGCTTCTGAACAAGTCTTGCCAAGAAAACCCTATTATATTTCAGGGTCATCATAAGTCAGGAATGACATGAAAGCACATAACAACAACACTGTTTGAGGCTTGATATCTGATGCTTGGGGAGAAAAAAGACTTCGGAAGTGGTAGAGAAGTGTGGAAGATTTTCTTTTTTACTACCTTGCTAAAAATATTATTCCACTGCTGTGCTACACAGTCTGCAGCCCAGAACAACTGATTGCAAAAAAGATTTCAACAGAAAATTAGGAAGAATGTCCTGGACAGTCCAGTACATATAGTTTGTCAGTGGAACATTCTGCCTTGAGATGTGTTTGTCTCTCATCCCAAGTATATACTGCCTCTGAGTATTACTCCTCCTTACCTGGCCCACCCAGAGTGTCACTGTTTGCATTTTCCATTTCAATCTCCTTCAGCACATTCTTGAGCGCCTCCCACTTTGGGTTGCTTTCCAAAACCAGCTCCCTTTTCTGTTCTGAAATACAAAAAAAAAAAAAAAAGAAGGCAGGGTATAAAGCTAAAATGTTTCCTGTTATGAATTTCCTGGATGTTTTACAAGAACTGGGCAATCAGCCTGTCATATGTAAGTTATGCAAGGATCAAAACATATACATTGAGGCAGGGACGGCAAATATGTGGTGAAACTACAACTCCTAGCATCACCAACAATGGCTATGCTGGCTAAGGCTAATGGTGATTGCAATCCAACAGCACCTGGACAGTCATCCATCCTAAAGGACTGTTTGAAGACTACATAACCTGTGATAACTATAGATTGAGGCTCAAACAACTGTCTGATCTTCCAGAGCACAGATAATTTACAACAGCTTGCTTGTTTTCATCCTTCATTTATTCTTGTCGCCATGACTTAACAGTCTCTCTGGCCAGCTGCAACTACTGCAGGCTCAGGGCTGAGTCCTGTTACACTTCCAAAGAACATCCAAGAGAAACAGACATGTAGTTGGAACAAAATAGGTCATAGCTTTATTAGTTACAGCTGCACATAGGCTTGGCCCCCACAAGGGTCTGGATCCAGACACCAACAGACCTAATCTTTGATCAATGAGCCGCATAACCTGTCTATTTGCCAGGCAACACTTGGAATAACAGGAATGTGATTCCACATGAATGACTGCCACTGCATTGTTCCCCTGTCACCTGGGGATGTGGCAAAGACAGATGCTCTCCCCCCCCCCCAAAGCCTAGCATGAGCTTTGTTGCGCACACCTCCAAACAATAGAATCACAGAAACATAGAGATGGAAGATACCCCAAGGGCCATCCAGTCCAACCTCTTGCCATGCAGGAATATTGGATCAAAACACCCCTGACAAATGGCCATCCAGCTTCTGTTTAAAAACCTCAAAAGATGGAGCCTCCACCACTCTCCGAGGAAGTGTGTTCCATTCTCGAACAGCTCTTACAGTCAGGAGGTTCTCCGTAATCTTGAGGTGGAATCTCTTTTCCTGTAATTTGAACCCACTGCCCCAGGTCCTAGTCTCTGGAACTGCAGAAAACAAGTCTGCTCCATCCTCAATATGACA